TCCTTGCTGGTTGTCAGCCAGGGCCACCACCTTTCTCGACACACGGCTCTCTTCACCTTCAAGCCCACAGGGGGCCTTGGTCCCTTCCCGCTTGGGCTCCCCCTGACTTCCCATTCGCCCGCCTCGGCTCGCAGCAGCGGGGAGAAGTTCTCTGCTTCTGCAGACTCACACGTGAGACCCGGCGCAGAGATACTCACAGAGGCTCTGCGTCTCACTGCCAACTGGCTTGGGACTTCAGTTACAAGTGCAGAATCCCTTCCTGGCAGGACCTAAGGTAACACAGGTTGAATAACCAGGGAAAGAAATAACGGTACAGGGAGGCATTTTGGGGAATCTGCCTGCCACACCTGTAGACATTAAAAAAAACATGCAAATTTCTGGTTGATGTAAGTGCCACCTTTTGTATCCCGAACCACATGGCAGTAAAACTATTAGTCACTCAGAGAAGCTGATGTGGTACTCCACTGAGTCTTTCAGCCTCTCTTGCCTCTCTGCCCATAGCTGAGCCTTTGACCACCATAATGGAACCAACATAAGGAAAACAGCAATTGGTTCTCTGTGGTTCTGTGTTTGTCAACCCACTAGGCAGAGGCCTTTTACATAAATGCAGCTGTAGTGAAGTGCTCACCGAAAGATTATTTTTGGAAAATAAAGACCCACTAAAAACACAATTTTACAGCGTGCTCTTTCTACATTTGTCTTTCCTAAACTTGCCTAGATGATGACTCTTGGAACTGTGGAATCTCACCCCAGCTGGTACTTGACAAACTAGGAGCAAAAGTGTGGTTGATGGACTGCATACTATTGGAACAGAAGCTTTCTCTTCTTACATCTTCATTTGAAATGAAGAGAGACAGACACAGAAATCTCCCATTCATTGGTTCACTCCTCAACTGCTTGCGACAGTTGGGGCTGGGGCAGGCCAAAGCCAGGAGCCCAGAACTCAGTCAGGGTCGCCCATGAGGCTGGCGGGGACTGCAGTACTTCAGCCATCCCCCGCTGCCTCTGCTGCCCATTAGAGGAAGCTGGATCAGAAGTGCAGCCGGGGTTCTGATCAGGCCCCCAGTAAGGATGCAGGTATCCCAAGCACTGTCTTACCTGCTGCACCCAACATGTGCCCCAGGAACAGAGTCTTTAAAGATTCAGATAGATCTTATCCCACTCTAGTATCTTTTCTTAAAAATATTTTTAAATTTTACTTGAAAGTCACAGTTATACAGAGAGAGAGAGAGAGAGAGAGAGAGGTCTTCTATCTGCTGGTTCACTCCCCAGATGGCTGCAACAGCTGGAGCTATGCCAATCCAGAGCTAGGAGCCAGGAGCTTCTTCCAGGTCTCCCACATGGGTGCAGGGGCCCAAGGACTTGGGCCATCTTCCATTGTTTTCCCAGGCCATGGCAGAGAGCTGGATTGGAAGTGGAGCAGTCGGGTCTCGAACCAACGCCCATATGGGATGCCGGCACTGCAGGTGGCAGCTTTACCCACTATGCATTGCCTTTCTATAGACCTCATGGAAAGGGCTATCAGTCTGTAGAAGACGTAAGAATCATTGTTCCTAGGTTTCTAACATTCCGCCGCTATTCTTTCTCCAGCTCCACTGTCGGCTCCCTGTGGAATTATTTATTTCAGGAAACAGCTCACTGTGTGGGTCTTTCTCAGCCTTCACTAGCATCTGCAGTGAAGTTAGCTGATGTGTTTTGCTTTTATGTGAAACAACAAACACATATTTAGTCAGTACTGTGTCAGAGGCACCTTTGTGATCCTTCCAGTCTTTGAAGAACATAATGGGCCGGCGCTGCGGCTCACTAGGCTAATCCTCCGCCTAGCGGCGCCGGCACACCGGGTTCTAGTCCCAGTCGGGGCGCCGGATTCTGTCCCGGTTGCCCCTCTTCCAGGCCAGCTCTCTGCTGTGGCCAGGGAGTGCAGTGGAGGATGGCCCAGGTGCTTGGGCCCTGCACCCCATGGGAGACCAGGAAAAGCACCTGGCTCCTGGCTCCTGCCATCGGATCAGCGGGGTGCGCCGGCCGCAGCGCGCCGGCCGCGGCGGCCATTGGAGGGTGAACCAACGGCAAAAGGAAGACCTTTCTCTCTGTCTCTCTCTCTCTCACTGTCCACTCTGCCTGTCAAAAAAAAAAAAAAAAAAAGAACATAATGCTCCCTGAGGTGACAGCTCCATTCGATGTAGGAGACCACACCTTGTGTTTGCCCTTCTGGAACCTTCTCAAGGGGAGTCAGTCCATTTCTTAAAACTGGCCAAGTATAATAAAGCCTCAGAGGAAAAATGACAATTTTGCCAAGAGACAGCACCTTGCTTAGGAAGTGACCTGCACACAAAACAGCATAATCTACCCAAAAATAGGCACTTTAAGGATTTGAGGGGCTTAATAAGCATTCAAGGCAATGGATTCCCAATGTTTCCAGCATAACTTTATTCCTTCATGAATTTTCCAAAAACATGTCACTTGAAAACTTACTTGATGAATCCGAAACTGACCTCGTCACTTTGAGTTCTTAATGATAGCGGTATCCAATCCTGGGACCTCCTGAATTTTAAAAACTCACTTTCCTTTTGCCCTCTCAGCATATTTTCTTTAGCTGAAGCAGAAAGGAGGTGGTTCGAGAGCACCACAGAGACTCTGGCTCAGCAGGATGGTGAGCGCCAGAAGCCACCTCCTTCTAAAGCGGCAATGACCTGGGCTTTCTCCGTGTTATGCACCACGACGGTGCTTGTGAAAGTGGCCAATGATTCCACGGATGTCCTCGCACACCGATCACTCCCCAGGTTCCATGTTCTGCTCAGTCCTTACAGCGGAACACTGATCTACAAGCCAGTTAACTAGGAATGACTGCTGTTTTGGTCTCCCATGTACCATTTGTCAGCGTTGTAATTGTCGCTCCCCCTCTTCATGGAGGAACGACACTAAACCCTGCCTAGGCTTCATATCCGAGTCACGGCACCATTATGTCGCTCCCCCTCTTCATGGAGGAACGACACAGGACCCTGCGCTGTTCTTTCGTCTGCTCGGCCCTCCCCGGGTTTGCTGCTGGTTCTTCCCGGGTTGGCTGCCGTCCCTTCCACCTCCGTGGAAGGGCGGTTCCCCCTGGCCACATTCCCCACTTCCGCGGGGGAGCGGCACACCGCCGGCCGGCTCTCTCGGGGGCTGCACAGGTGTTCCCCTTAGATGTTCCCCTTAGATGTTCCTGGTGCATGCCGTCTCTCTCCTCCTTTATAGTCCTCCTCTGCCAATCCCAACTCGGCTGCCCACACGCCGAGCACGCTGCTCTCCAATCAGGAGCAAGTCCTACAGTTTATTGGCTGAACTGGAAGCAGCTGTGTAAAAGCTGTTTTCTCCTCTCCCAGCGCCATATTGTGGGAGAGCAGATGCATAGAACAAGTCTTAATTCCAGTAACTTAGTCTAGTCCGAGCTGCTCCCCACAGTAATCTCAGTCCTGCAGCACTGTACCCACACCTGGCGCAGAAGAGCCCCAGGACTATACAGCAGCAACCACAAAATTGTCTCCAAGGAAGCTCTAGTTGAGGCAGAGTCACTGGTCCTAGAGAATGTGCAGCAAAGTTCTTTCTAATGATCAAGGTGATCAATGAAGAGGTGATGCAGTGACTGCATGAAACTGTAGTAGAAGATAACCTGCCACCCAAAGCCAGGCCAGCCAAGTGGTGGAACTAACAGCCTTTACAAGAACTTGTGTCAAAAGGACAACACACACACGACCATTATGCCTTTGGTATTGTGTCTAATTGGGGAATTTTATGACATGGGATGGCTGACCTCATAAAGTAGACTGAAAGTGTGGAAAACAAGATGTTTAGAAGCACTGATGCTCCCCAAAGCAGCACTCATAGCCAGGCTAAGGCCATGGACAGGCAATGCTAGTGAAGGCGAAGCGGCTACATCGCAGATTGTTAAACAAAGTAAGTCCAACTTTCTCTTTCTAATATTTATGGTGAGGGAAATAGAAGAAAATGAAGAGATTTTTATATACAATCTTTTCATCCTGATTCAGGATATAGACACTCTTCTTAAAATCAGGGTTTCCTGTCCATTTCCAGTGCAGCTACACCAACACAAATCCTGAGATAAATGCTGAACAATATGAACAACACTGATTCCGCCAAGAATACAGGGTGTGGAGAACTCTCTCCAGATTGCAGGGAGAGGTGTGAAGGTTTATACCTATCTGAGCCTTCATAACCCAGAGAAAAACTGTCAAGATGGGACACAGGTCTGAGTTATACCCCTGAGGACTTTCATTAAACACTTCAAAAATGGGCTTCCCAAGCTCCAAGATCATGAATGTATGCTGGGAATTGCTTGTAAATATTCTGAAGGTAAAGTCTTCTCAAACAGAAAAGCCACTGCTGTCACACAGCTAAAATGTGTTAGACAGTGTTGTTTCCACGGGGAGTAAACCCTACTCCCTGACGTGTTATTTAAAAAAGCTTTATTTATTTATTTATTTGAAATGCAGAGTTAGAGAGAAAGAGAGAGGGAGAGAGAGATCTTCTAACTGCTGGTTCACCCCTAAATGGCTGCAATGGCTGGGGCTGGGCTAGGAGAAAACCAGGAGCCTGGAACTCCCTCGTGGCCTCCCACATGGGTGACAGCCTTCCATCTTCCACTGCCTTCCCAGGCACATCAGCGGGGAGCCAGACTGGAAGTGGAGCAGCTGGGACTGGAACAAGTGCTCACATGGATACCAGAGGTGCAGGCAGTGGCTTAACCCACTGGGCCATAGCACAGGCCCTTAAAATTATTCATTTACTAAAGAGTCACAAAGGACCTTGGCTAGGTGTCGTCATTTCATCGTAGGTATTATTATTGTCCCTGCTCTCCACAGCTTCCACCAAATGTCGAGGTATAAATGCATCCATAGAGTTAAATTAGTTAAGTTCTCTCAAGTCTTAGCATCCAAGACTGCTAAGACCACGCTCAGGCAACCCCTATGGATACTGGCAAAGAAAAATTCCACAATCATTCTTACCTTCCATGGGTGCAAGCTGGATTTTCAAAAAATTTCCTTCAGAACTCTTCCACTTCTTCAACCTGGATATTAGGAATTCAGGAAAAGACACCAGTTGGAAATGGTACCTGGGACCTGCTGGAAGGGTTCTAGCAAGGTTCCCAACCACAGGCATCACAGTAAAATGACACGGGGCTGTCCCTGGATTCGTGTATCCCCCAAGCAGAAAGAAGGCCAAAGAAATTTACTTGGTAATAGGAGAAAACTGGGAGTCCACATCACTGTATATCCCAAACGAAGTCTTCAAAAGACATCTGGATGAAGAACACTGCCTGGGGGTTGACAGCACCTACCAAGTACTTTGGACCAAGTGTGTGAATATTTGAAGTAGCCGGCTCCCACCAAAGATCACTGGAACAAGAGCCGATGGCCCAAACCACAAACTTTTCATTCTTTTTCTTTCTTCCAGCGTCTTTCTCTAATCATTATTGCTATTCTGTTTCATTTTTGTTGATTGAAACTTGCTGACAGAATACCCACAGTGACATTTTCATGTTTTTTATACTCGCATTTAATACGTGGAGCTCAGGGAGAACTTATGCTCACCAAGGCATTTTCCACCTAAGCTTGTAAATGTTCCAGGAAGTCTGAAAAATGTATGGGCTTTAAGCGTACCTCTAGCTTCAGGCATAGCCCTTATCACTGGATCTGAAGCATCTCATATCTCTGCTCCAGATTTCCAACCTTTTTTTTTTTTAAGATTTATTTATTTATTTGAAAGTCAGAGCTATAAAGAGAAACAAGGAGAGGCAGAGAGAGAGAGGTCTTCTATCCAATAGTTCATCCCCCAATTGGCCGCAACGGCCAGAACTGTGCCGATCCAAAGCCAGGAGCCAGGAGCTTCTTCCAGGTCTCCCACATGGGTACAGGGGCCCAAGGACTTGGGCCATCTTCTACTGCTTGCCCAGGCCATAGCAGAGAGCTGGATTGGAAGTGGAGCAGCCGGGTCTCGAACCAAAGCCCGTATGGGATGCTGGTGCTTCAGGCCACAGCTTTAACCTGCTGTACCACAGCACTGGCCCCAAGAGATCCAACCTTATGATGCTAACTTGTCCCATTTAATCATGTGGACTAAACACATTTCTTCATTTACAGGCACCTGCTAGAATTACATTTATTTTAAATTTTTAAACCCATCCAAAGTCTGAAATATTTTCTTTATAAAAGATTTATTTATTTATTTACTTGAGAGAGAGAGAGAGAGAAAGAGAGAGAAAGAATCTTTCATCTGCTGGTTCACTGTCCAGATGGCTGCGACAGCCACAGCTCAGGCAGCCTGGAGCCAGGAGCCGAGAGCTCCTTCGGGGTCTTCATGTGAGTGCAGGCATCCAAGCACTTGGGCTGCCTTCCCAGGCATGCTGGCAGGGAACTGAACTGGAAGGAGGGGAGCTGGGGCTCACACCGGCACTCATGTGGAACGCCAGTGTCACAGGTGCTGGCTTAACCCACCGTGCCACAATGCCAGCCCCACCTGAAGTATTTTCCAAAGCGTAGGTTGAGAAATAGAACAGCTTTTCTCAGATTAAACTTTGGTAATGTACACTAATTTCTGTGACTTGTGATAAAATTATTTCTTCAAAGTTAGCATTCATATCATAGAAAATCTCATGAAATCCAATTCAAAACTGAAAACTAAAATTCAGATCAATTACCAACCATAGAAGAAGGCTAATGTATTTTTACAGTTGGAGAATTCCAATGTATTACACAATTAACATTCACTGTATACTGAACAAGGAACAAATGTATACTTTTGGCCACAAGATTTCCTATACGAACTGGCTGAATCAGGTCAATTTCTAACTCATGGAAATCAAGATCTCCCACGGATTTTTTAATTCCCCAGATCTTTCAGGTACATTTCACACCCACCTGATGCTCCCTGTGGAATGCAAATCCAACTGCAGGGGTTAGAGATGGTAGTATCCATATCCTGCCATCTATTTTGTTTATGTTGTGTTGGTTTTTTTTTTTTTATCTAAAGGCAGAGAGAGAGAGACTGATCTTCTATCTGCTGGTTTACTCCCCAAATGGCCACAATGGGTAGGGTGGTCTAGGCCAAAGCCAGGAGCCTGGAGCTCCATCAGGGTCTCCCTCATGGGTGGTAGGCACTCAAGTACCTGGGCCATCCTCCACTCCCTTATCAGGCGCATTAGCAGAAAGCTGGATTGGAAGTGGAACAGTAGGGACTTAAATCCACACTCTGATATGGGATGTCAATATGGCAGGAGGCGGCTTCTGTGCTACAACACTGCCCTTGGTATGCACATTCTTACATATGGTACTTTTCCATATCTCACAATATAAAAATCTCTGTTGCCATGATAACCATTGAAAATAAAACTATACATGCACTATAGGCGAACAAAAAATGAGCATGAACTTTCTCAAGTGAGATGAAGAGTCTAAGAAGTTAGATTACACACTAGCACACTAGCAGGCAGGATGAAATTTGTGTCCTGACAAATACTTCCTGTTGCAGCTGGATAAATGAAAGTTCCCAAAATAAAACTCAGGAACAAACCAGTGGTTGTCCAAAATGGGACAGAGCACACCACTGGGACCTGGTCTCCTGGTCTGAGCACGGCAAAAGGAGAGCACTTGGTAAATGCTGGTTATGCTGCTTCAAATCGCTGCTATTGTCAAATGATTTGTAAGTGAATTCTGAAGAGCTGCTGTACAGGTATCATTGCGTTACACATCAAATCATCCTGTGTGGAAAGAATTCTAAAGTGACTCTAATAAACACAATGAAACTCTGAGGAGCTAACACCTACGTTAGAGTGGGGTGATGGCCCCAATTTTTCATCCCTCCATGCCCTCAGCTTTTTGCCTTTGGAGGCTGGGACCACAAGAAAATCTAAAGCTGAGACTGGAACAGGAACATTGAGAAAACCCACTGGCAGCACAGACGCAACCTATGCATAGGGTGAAACTCGAACTGTCACACAGAAAATGTAAAAGAATTATAATTAATAATAAAAGCTTATGCAAACATTGACAACATGCATGAACAGACACTCAGAGAAAGAATCAAATGGAAATGCTAGAACCAAATGGGAATGTAAGAATGGAAATGCTAGAATTAAAAAAAAAAAAAAAAAACTTGGTAAAGGAGATAAAGAATGCCTTCACAGGCTCTTTAACAGACTTGACATAGCTTAGGGAGGAATCAACCAACTCAAGTGGAAGCCAACAGAAACTACACATACTGAAACACAGATGTGAAGAAGAGGAAACAGAACACAGAGTTCCGAATGCTTCTGAACTTTAACTTACAGTCCAACATGCATGTGTAACTGGAATAGCGAAGGAAAAGAGAATGAGAATGAGATAGGACAGACACTCAAAGAAACACTTGATGGGGTTGGTACTGTAGCACACAGGGTTAAGCCGCCACCTGCAGGCAGGCACCCCTATACGGATACCAGTTCAAGTCCCGGCTGCTCCACTTCTGATCCAGCTCCCTCTAATGAGCTTGAGAAAGCAATAGAGCACGGCCCAAGTGTTTGGGCCCCTGAACCCATGCAGGAGACCTGGAAGAAGCTCCTGGCTCCTGGCTTTGGATTGGCCCAGCTCCATCCATTGCAGCCATTTGGGGAGTGAACCAGCAGATGGAAGACCTCTCCCTCTCCCTCTCTTTGGCTCTGATTTTAATGAACAAGTAAATCTTAAAAAAAAGAAAAACCCTACAATGGGAAATGGGATACCACTACAAATCTACCAGAATAGCTACAAAACTGACAATACCAACTGCTGGTGAGGATATAACCCAACAGGCACTCTCATACATTGCTGGTAGGAAAACCAAATGGTGCAGCCACTCTGGAAAATGGTTTTTCAGTTTATTTTAAATACTCTAACATACTTACATGCTTACTATAATGCCCAGAAATATTACTGCTAAATATTACTCAAGTAAAACAAAAACTTTTCTTCATGTAAAAATCTGCATGCAAATGTTCAAAGCAGCTTTACTCATGATGATAAAACCTAGGAAGTAGCCCAAATACTCATCAACCGATGCCTGGACAACTAAGCTGTAATACATCTATGTAATGGAATAGACTAGCAATAAAAAGGAGTGAATGACTGACACACCACAGCATGAGTGAATCTCAAAAGGCTTGTGCTAGAAAAAAGAAAACAGAGTCAAAAGACATGTGACGTGCTAGAACAGGCCAAACTCAGGGGAATCAAAGCGATAGCATTGCCAATGGTCAGCAATGGGGGAGCAACTGACAAAAATGGGGAGTGGGGAATTTTCAGAGGTGACAGAGTCATTGTACTTCTTGGTTGTGTGGGTGGTGGCAGCGCGGTTATACAGCTGTATGAATATGAGGTTGTCAAACCTTACAAAACTGTATACTAATAAGAGGGGATTTTACTGTGTATAAATCATATCTCATTAAATATGAAATAAACAAAAAAATGCACTCAGTATAGCAGCCAAGCTGATCTGAAACTGCTGACTCATAAAACTTGATATTTTCTTACCCTTTCAGGTCAAACTTTCACCCCTCAACAAGGTCAGGCCACTGTAAACAACACCTTTATAATTACAGCAACCCTAGCCTGAGGTTTATCAAAGTTGAATGCTGGCTTAACCAGCCACAGCTGATGAAGGACTATAAATTTTAGGCAATGTACTAGCAAAGGTGATCAACAACCCAAAGTTTGAGCAAACCCAGCCTCCCAGATCCTTCATGGACCTCACTGAGAATACTGAGCACGCTTTCTTTTTCCTTTTCTCTAATTTTTTTAAAGATTTATTTATTTGTTTGAAAGGCAGAATTACAGAGAAGCAGAGGCAAAAGCAGAGAAAGAGATGTCTTCCATCCACTCCCCAAATGGCTGCAACAGCTGGAGCTGGGCCAGTCGAAAGCCAGGAGCTCCTTCTGGGTCTCCCACGTGGGCCCAAGGACTTGCATCATCTCCCACTGCTTTCCCAGGCGCATTAGCAGGGATATGGATTGGAAGTGGAGCAGCCGGGACTGGAATGGGTGCCCACATGGGATGCTGG